GGGATTGGGTTTGTATGGATATGACAGTGATGGTGGAAATTGGTGGAGGATGGCAATTATTAGTGGATATGGCCTGCTTATCACTCCTGTCTTTCTTTTATTGAACTTCCACGTCAGCCATTGGACTTATCGGCTGTACTTAACGGTCCACATGGTGTCCGTAGCAACAATCTTTCATTTTATATTTTCTTTTCATTTATTTTTCCACATTATTGCCATTCCATGTGTTTAAAAGCTCTGTACATGTAGGAATGGAAAAGCGACCTCCCTTTTGACTACAAAAGAGACTGTAGCGCTGAGAGATCCAAGTAGAAAGAAATTCTAAGCTTGACTCCTTGATTATTATAAGGAATCCCTGATGATTGTCCAAGATGGACCAGGGGTACGTAATTCTTAACGAGTTTTTGTGATTATTTTTGTTTTGTTAGCACCTGAACTGAACCTAGGACGAGCTTAAGACATCCCAGACTCCCTCCCCACGAATTTGCTTGCATTTAGGGGGTTAGATCTCTAGCCTGCTTGCACTGTAAGTGATACGATGGTATGTATTCTACAGTGTGTGTAAGCAGTTAACGGAAGTTCCCACTTACCCATGTGACTTTATGTACATTGTAATTACATATGGCTTGGGGTTCAGGGCTATTGCCCTGACAAGGGCCCCACTATCCCCTGGAGCCTTCCCACATCTCCCCAAGTCAAGCCCCAAGGGCAGACAAAGGGAAACAGAGGGAAGAACCTCCACATCGGCTGTCCGAAAAACTACTGGACTTGTTCCAGGTCCCATCTAAATGGAGGATGGGAGATGAGGAACAACTCTTTCTCAGGCTGAAGGCCCGAGAGAGCGCAAAGAACACCCTGAGAGCAGGATCCCTCAGAGTGTGGAAGCTCAAATAGAACTTCCGCTATCTGCACAACCCCACGCCATGCCAGGTCGCCAACCTTGGAGGAGGTCTCCAAGATTATGAAGAGAAGGTGAACCAAAATGAGAGAGTTCGCTGAGGAAGCCTTACGAAAAAGTAAGGAAAAATCAGCAAGCAGACTCTTCCATGAAAAGGAAGCACCTTCCATGACTCCCTTGCCTAAACAAAGCGAGCGTGGAGTTTACACTCCAAGAACCCCTTCTGGAACCCCAGAAGTGGCAACATAAACTGGGGAGAGTCACTACTTGCCCAGCCTAACTTCCTCCTGGAAAACCAGGAATCACGCATAATAAATGTGATAAACTTGATCCAAAAAAAGATTGAGGAAACAAGCCACAATAGTACAGCTCATCTAGAGATAACTCTAGAAAGAATGGCCAACACGATTGACATGTTGACCAACAAAATCAGCGAGCAAACGGACTTGCTGAAAGAATTAAATTTCTCACAAATGTCAGAGACCAGATGCGGGATGAAGGAGACATCCCTGTGGCGGAGGGCTTTGGCCTCAGCGACTTAGACCAGGAGCGCTGTGCCAAGTTACACATCCATGCCCTAACTTACTAACTGGCAACAAGAACTAAAAGGGGGGATAACTCTAGTTGATTTTATCACTGGGTGTCATATCCATCCCTGGCCATCGACTTCCGGTTCCTCCGACCCCTCCGGTCTAACTCCGCTCCTCCCTCACTAACCTCGGAGCTCCCGTATTCCGCAATCCTCTCGGTACCCCTCGATGGTCACCACCCCCTCATTTCAATTTATTACCTACGCCTCCCTAAGTACGGAGCCCCGAAGACTTCTGGACAGCTCCGACGTCCGCTAGCGCACTCCCGCCTCTGCTGGGCAATCCACTCGCCTGCCCTGCAGAGCCCACCTTCGGGCCTATCCCTCCTTTCCGTTTCTGGGTTATCGCCTGCCTTTCCGCTAACCCCGCGACCCGACTCGTCGGTAATATTCAGTTGGCTAATGTTTAAACCCCGTTAGCTCCGCTCTGTTCGGCTCCGCCAATTGCGGACCCGTCTTTGCTGTAACCATATATATATCCCACTTGTACATAGGTTACACCCCAGTAATAAAATCAACTAGAGTTACCCCCCCTTCGGTTCTGATTGCCAGTCAGTAAGGTAGGGCACGGACGTGTCACTAGGCACAGCACTCTTGGCAGAAGTCGCTGAGGCCAAAGCCCTCCGTCACGGAGACTCTCCCTCGTCTTGAATCTGGTCTCTGACACTGGGGTGTAACCTATCTACAAGTTATGTATATATAGTTACATGGGGGGCAGGCCCGTGAATAGCGGGACCGAGTGGAGCGGAGCTAATGGGGTTAGATGTTAGCTGACTGAATATTACTGACGAGTCAGGTTACGGGTTTAGCGGAATGGCAGGCTATAACCCATAAGTGGAAAGGAGGGATTGGCCCGAAGGTGGGCTTTGCAGGACAAGCAACTAAATTGCCCAGCGGAGGTGGGAGTGCGCTAGCAGACGTTGGAGCTGTCCAGAGACCTTCGGGGCTCTGTACTTAGGGAGGCATAGGTAATACATTGAATTGGGGAGGTGGTGACCATTGGGGGAGTTGGAGGTGGTTGCAGAAACTGGAGGCTCTGAGGTTAGTGACGAAGGAGCGGAGGGAATCCAGAGGACCGGAGGTGGTTGAAGATGATGGCCGTGGATGGATATGACAACAAAATCGTGAGGAAACAAAAAAATACCCCTGGTCCACAGGCCAGGAAAAAAACTAAAACTTGTGAAAAATTCATGAAAAGAATGACCAGTGAAAGTACACTGGATTACCACCAGTGACTCGACAGAGACGCTAAAGAAGTCCTTCTCCCAAAGATAGGAGAAGACGATGCTGAAAGAAGACATCGTTCAGAAATCAGGAGAAGGATAGGCATTGTCATATCCATCCATGGCCATCACCCTCCACTACCTCCGGTCCTTCCAGACTACCTCCGCTCCTTCGTCACTAACCTCAGAGCCTCCGGATTCCGCAACCACCTCCAACTCCCCCAATGGTCACCACCCCCTCAATTCAATATATTACCTATGCCTCCCTAAGTACAGAGCCCCAAAGGCCTCTGGACAGCTCCGATGTCCGCAAGCACACCCCCACCTCCATTGGGCAATTTAGTTGCTTGCCCTGCAAGTCTATCTTCGGGCTGATCCCTCCTTTCCATTTCTGGGTTATAGCCTGTCACTCTGCTAAACTGTCAGGAACAGCTCCGAAAGTGGCGAAGTCCCGGTGCAAGGGACTTGGTGGGACAGATGTTGGCTGTGCATAGCAGCGATCCCGTCGCAGGGTGAGCGTCCCCAACCACTTAGTCTGAAGTGGGAAGTTGAGAAGAAGGCTGCTTCTTCTGTTCCCACCCCAGGCGCTATTATATACATGCGGTTAGGGTCACGTGGAGGAAGCCACGTCATCTCTGCACACAGCTGCACCTCCCTGGGTGTCTCCATGGGAGATCCCGGGGGTGGCCACTCAGTAGGTGGGAGTGCGCACGGTGTGTGTGGCGATCAGGGAAGTGGGGTTAGGTATGTAGTGGTACATGGAGGAAAGGGAAATTGACTGTAGAAGAGAAAAGGGGAAAAGGGGAAAGGAGGGATGGGGAGTGATAGCGGGGGGAGCAGAGTAGGGCAGTACAGTGTGGGGTGCAGCGCGGGGTCAGGTGGGTGTGCCCTGACATAAACCCATAACCCGACTTGTCAGTAATATTCAGTCGGCTAACATGTAACTCTGTTAGCTCCGCTCCGCTTGGTCCTGCCATTCATGGGCCTGCCCCCTATGTAACTATATATACATAACTTGTAGATAGGTTACACCCCAGTGATAAAATTGACTAGAGTTTCCCCTCTTCTAGTTCTCTTGCCAGTTAGTAAATTAGGGCATGGATGTGTAACTAGGCACAGCACTCCTGGTTTAGTCACTGAGGCTGAAGCCCTCCACGATGGGGACGTCTCCTTCGTCCCGTATCCGGTCTCTGACAGGCATGTACCAAAGGTTTGGCCAAACCTCCTTCACTGACGAACCTCTTGAACAGAGAGGTAATAACCTGCTCTCTCAAAAGAATGAGAGAATCTATATCCAGCCTTGGGTGCAACCGCCCGAAACAAAAGAACCGCTGAGAGAACAGCCTCTCCCAGCGAAAAACCCTCCAAAGGAGAAATCTTCATTGGACAGTGACCCTGCTAAGGCAGGGGAACAAGAGGAGTACCTGGAAAAATGGTATGAAAAGGCCATAAAGATGGCTGAAGTAAGAATACTCACTTCATACCTGGAGGCCCTGAAGAACGGCCTGGCCTTCCCTGACAAGAAATGGTCAAGGGAGAACGACATGGAGTCGTTCTGGCAGTGGTTCACGGAACTACTGGGATTCCTCACCTCGTGAGGATGCAAAGGCCCCCAGTTTGATGAAGTCCATTTGGACTGTTTAATTCATGGACTAGGGGGACCTGCATTCGACCTCGGAATTAGACTCTGAGATGAAACTCTCCTCAGAGGAGACGAGGGCATGTTCCTCAAAGTTCTCAACATACTGATGAGAACTTTCATAAAAGCATCTGCCATGTTAAACGCAACAAAGAGGTACCGCAACATAAAATACAAGGCAGGCAAAGGTTTAAAACAGTTCTATTTAGAACTGTCAAAAGCAGCATCCCAAATGGTGACGCCGCCAGACCAGGCATCCTTCAATGCCAGGTTCCTAAACAACATTCCCCTTGAATGGAAGAGGGAAATGATCGCTCATGACAGAATCAGAGTGGACATCTCCTCAAATGAGGAGATGATAAGAGCAATATCTCATGTAGACAAGATAATTGATGGGCTGAAGATGTCTTCAGCATACAAATCGGGTTATTACACCCAAACAACCACCACAGCAACCACAAGCCACAGTAGAACCCTCCCATCAGGGAAGAGGGCTGAGGAGCCCAAACCCAGATGGAAAGAGGACTCATCCTCGAAATATTCAAGGAAAACTGACCAAAAATCAGTTTCAATTTGCGGCAAGTGCGGCAAATTAGGGCAAACAAAAGATTGCCCTAAATAAGCGACAAGAAACCAAGGTGCATAGCTGCCATGGAAGTTACCCATTTATCAAAAGAAGAGTTGGAGGACTCATTGGAAGATAAACCAGAGAATAACTCTGGTGACTCTGAAGTGTCAAGCTTCGAAGTTGAGGACCCATATGAGGGACCCCAATACTCACCTGATTCAGAGGGTGAGGAAGTCAACATTGGGACCATAAGAATGGGCCCAATGTCAGTTGTTGACCACAATGACACCAACTACAGAGTTGAACTGGCAGTAACACGCCAGCTAGAAGAATCTGTGGACAAGAAAGTTGCAGAGTGTCAGGGCACACCCACCCCACCCAGCTCCATCCAGCTCCACCCGGCTCCACTCCACCCGCTGCCCCTTCTTCAACCTCCCTATTCCCTGTCAGGATCCGGACCCCAACTGGGAGTGGCTGGAGGGTGAGGCTGGGTGTGGAAGCTGGGGTACTCTCCCCAGCTGCTAACTCCTCAAAGTCACTGAGGGGACTAGCCTCAGCCTTCACAGGGAATGAGCTGAGAAGAAGGGTAAGCTTCTCAGCCCCCTGTAAGGCCGACACAAAAGGACCCTAGGAACTATACAGTTCCCGCTTGCTGCCGACTTTCCATAATGGGTGCGACCCGTGGGAAAGTTCTGGGTGAGCTGCTTGCCCAGAATGTTCCCACGGTCACGTGTCCTAGGCGAGTTACTCTCACAGAAAGTTCCCGCAGCTGTGGCTGTGCATTTCTGGGTGAGTCGCTCACCCAGAACGTTCCCACAGGTCCGCACATGTGCATCATTGTGTGAAACAGTGGGGGGAAGGATAGGGGGAATGGGGAAATGTGGGGAGAGGGTGGTTAGGGAAAGGGTGAGAGTGTCTGAGGGTGAGTGGGGTCAAGGGCCGTGCCCTGACATTCCCTCCTCCTTCTATTTCTCCCTCTCTCCATTCTCCCTTTGTCTCATTCTCTATTCTCTCTATTTCTATTTACATGGATGACTTTCCTTTGATTGATGTACTATTGACCCACCTGCAATCCATGCATGACACACCCAGCCCCGGGTGCTCTGGATGACCCCCCAGTGCACCCAGTATGCACACTCGCAGTGGATCTCTTTGGGATCCCCCATGGGGATACCTGGATGGCTGGGGCTGTGTGTGAGGACAATGTGGCAACCCTCATGTGACCCAAGCCGCATGTATATAAACATACCTGGAGTGGGAACCGAAGAAGTAGCCTTCTTCTCACCATTCCCACTTCAGGGACACCTGTCTGCATCGGGTCTGTTGCCATGCATGCCCGCTTCATACCCTACCAGGCCCTCAGCGCTGGGTGCTCTCGACCCTGGACCAGTCCCTGACACAGAGGCTTTGGTGGAAACACCAAAGAAGGATGCCTTGGGAACCTACATGAAGGAACCCAAGAAAAACAAGGGGAAAGGGAAGAAGGACCATGTCATATCCCACCTCACTACACCTTCCTTACAACCTCATCATCCCCTATGCCATACCTCCCCACTTCCCAATGACACCTTCCTTCCCAACTGTCTCAGCTCCGGCCTGGAACTCGGCACACTCGCCCTTGGCCACTCCTACCCCGGAAGCTCGGTCCTGAGTCAGAACATTCAGAACCTCCAGATTCGCTTGGACCTCCCAATGGACCTCCGACATTTTGTTCCATACCTCTAAACCATTCCCCCTCCCATTTCATTTAGTGGAGTCACCCAACATCCTTCGGATATGTAACTCCGGCTTCGGAGCTACCCGCATCCTCTGGTGATCCTGCTCATGTCATCTTAAATTAGTCACCTCCCATTTGTAGTACGACTGTTGTTTTCTTTCCATTCAGTCGGCTGACTTCCCCTTACCCATTTCTTGTTCCCATTTTATCCTCCGGCCTCCTACTCCGGCCTCCTCGACCCGACACCTTGGTTCCCCGTTACAGATATTGTTCGGAACCTCTCGGTACCTTTTGGTATCACTCAGCACCTTTCGGTGTTTGTCGGTATCACTCGGACTTTGACTAAAGTCCTTCTCCCCATCCCTCTATATGTATATACATGTAGATTAGAACCCATTGTAATCCAGTTCTAATCTCGACTAAGAATACCCCAAGTTCCTCTATGAGTGATTCCTGACCCCCTTCTACAAGATACCTCAGACATCTGAAATGAAAGGACTAACTGAGACATAACGGAGGCACAGCGCTCCCTCCGAGTTGCTGAGGCTGCATCCTTCTTAGACCTCTTGTACCACCCAGCAGACTAGGGCTTCCTGGAGAAGCTTTGGTTCACTACCGGAGCTCTCGGAACCCCTCTAGTTGAGCCCTGCCTGCATTCGGTCTCACATCCCCCTTTGTGGGGTTTCTGACAGACCAGAAGTCCAACAAAACCCAAACTCCCTTATTCGATGCGAAATTTTGCATCTCCAAAGATGTGGGGAAATATCCTGCGAACAGACCGCTCTCCACTAAGAGAATGTTGACAGCCCATGTCAAAATAGCAGGCATAAAAGCCTATGTGCTGTTCATCAGCAAGGCCGAAATGGATGCGATATTGCCGATTTCATCCGTGCAGTCCACATCCCAATTCTCCAGTTGGAGAATCTGGTTGTCCTCCAAATGGGGATGAAAGGAACAAGATCAAAAATCTTGTTCGGAATGAACATGGGTGTCGAGATCAATGACCATGTTGAGAAACATTACTTCAATGTCATCAACATCGACAGATACGATGCCATATTTGGTGCCCCCTGGTTAAATAAAAACCAGGTAAACTTAGACTTCTGATCTCACAAAGTGAGAATGGCATCCAAGGGCAACATAGACACCCTTGGAGTTGGAGAAGACCGTGTGACGAGATCGCACAGGTGGAAAGCTCGAGCAAGGACTTGAGAACTGCCAAGGAAAAAGCCTCCCTGACTGGGAGGCAAGAAAGAAACACACCTCAGGGTAATCCAAAAGAGATACCCTGAAGGTTGGCCCAATCCTAGTCCGGAAGGACTGGAACTTCCAGATGTACCACATCTGGAAGGACTCTCCATGACTAACCCCGAGTTTGAAATACTCAGGGAATGGTGGAGAGAAAAGTTTGAAACTGTAATGGCACCAGTGCCATTAGAGATGCCTCCCCTGAGGGAGGTTAACCATCACATCCCATCAAAGGATCCAAACAAGAAATTTTGGGAGAATACCCCGAGATGCCCTGCAGCACTGCAGGAAGCACTAGCGACTAAAATAGCTCGCTATGTAAAAGCAGGATGGTGGTATCCTGCAAGCAGCGAGTGAGCATGCCCGCTACTGTGCATCTGCAAAGCAGACAGATCTTTGCGCACAGTAATTGATGGGAGAAATCGAAACTCAAACACGATCCTCGACGTCACTCCAATGCCAGACATGCAACTGATCCAAGAATCAGTTGCCAGAGCAACATACCGATCCAAGATTGATATGTTGGATGCATATGAACAGATACACGTGGATCCAGACGACGTTCTCTATGTGTCATATCCGTACATACCCGATCCTGATCCGACTCCCGGACCCCCATCTTCACCACCTCCGGAGTCCTACCCTATCTCCATCCACTCCGATACTCACCTCGGACCAAACATCACTCCTCTCGCCACCCTCCTCCTCTTACTCCTCCTCTTACCCCTCCTCTTACTCCTCACGACACCTCCACCCTTCCATCACTCTCTTACCCTACTTCCGTCCGCTCCGATACTCACCTTTGGACCTGACACCTTTCCTCTCCTCCACTCCTCTCCCCACTCCTCTCTTCTCTCTCCTCCCTCCTCCCCTCTTCCGCCAAACCTCCGGCAAGTTACAACCTTCTGCCGCTGTCCTGTACCCTGTACTCGGACACTGCTCGTACCTTCGCTCTGAGATTCCATCATAGTTCCGGCCTCGGACTTTGACTCCACCTGTTAGAACCGGGCGGATTCGGACAACTCCGGAGTGGAATCGGAGACTTAGCGTGGAAGGACCTTGGCCTCAGTGACTCAGGCGGAGCGCTGTGCCATTGCTGGTTGTCCTAGGGGTCGGATCTAGCAGAGGGAAAGTCTCTTGGGGGGAATTCAAGTCGATTTCGGACTGAGGTTACAAGTTACTAGGTACATTGTATATAAGGAGGGGTCCGGAATCAAAAGGAACAAGGGTAGGATGAAAGGAGACAAAGGGAGATGGAAAGAGGAACAACACCGAGGGTCAAGTGTTTGACTCAATGGTGTTTCCCAAAGGAGGAATGAAGGGCCAAGGCCCAAGGAGGAAGGAAGGAGGATGGAAGTCGGGAATGGCTAGCTGACTGAATAGAAGGAAGCAGCAGCCCAAATAGGAATGAGGGAGAATAGCGGAATTGAAATGGACAATGCAATAGTTGCAAGGTCCGGAGTAAGTCCGGAAAGTCCGAACTCGGAAGTTAAACTCCGGAATATTGGCAAACATGATTAAATGGAATGAGCTAACCAATACAATGGGTATAAGCGGAGGTGGGGTCAAAGTCCGAGGTCGGAGCTAAGACCGGAGGTTCCGGAGATGGAGACGCAAATGGGATTCCGGAGGGGAGGTCCGGAGTCGGGAGCATAGGTGTTGCATGCTCGTCTGGAAGGTGTCGAGGATGAGGTCGGACCCGGAATGTTCCGGAGTCAGACTGAAGGTGGTGTTGGAGCCAGAGGTGGGATAACCTCTTGGAAGTCGGCAAGGAGGAGGTGGCAGAAGGGAAGTAGGACTCTGGAAGTCAGGTTCGGAGTTCCGGGAGCCCAGAGCAGAGGTCGGGATTGTACGGATATGACACCACCTTGGCTTAAGTCCATTGCATTGGTGACCTCATACTACGTAAACACCATTGCCAACATTCCTTGGACTTTCAACCCCACCTCCATAACCTCCGTAAGCTCCACAACCTCTGAGCTCCATGGATCATACTTGGCACTTTCGCCGTTTGTAATGTATCTTTTGCACTTTCCCCTCATCCTTATTTGGACTGCTGCTTCTTCCCATTCTAGCCAGTTAGTCATCATCCCCACTTCACCTCATCTTCCTGCCCCTCTGGGCTTCGCCCTCCCTATCTCCTTTCGGATGTACCACAGGTTCTGACCTATGACCTTCGGTACCACTCCGCTTTCGTCTTCCCTTTGTCCCATTTGGATGCCTTTGTTCCGATTCGGACCCTCTTTGTTTCCTTGTGCTTTCACCCTCTCCATTATATACCAGCGCTTGTACATACTCGTTTTAGGCCCTTAGTCTAAAATCGACCTGAAATGCCCCCTAGAGACTTCCTGCTCAATGCCTCTGAAATTAAGGACCAAATGGACAAACAGCAATGGCACAGTGCTCCACATGAGTTGCTGAGGCCAAGGTCCCTCCTTGCTAAGTCTCCGGTTCCCCTCTGGAATCGTCCGCTGTAACGGGTCTATCCAACTAGACTTGTGGCTCAGGTCTAGGGGGGGTAGGTCTCTCTCTATCTCTCAGGTAGGTATGGTCCTTGGGAGTACGGTGCTGATACTCTCTGTAACCTCTAACTAACTGTCTGTACAGTTGTCATGGAAGAGTCCGATACAAATATAAAAGGAAAGTCACATGCGTGAATGAATGAAAATAGTAAGGAAAATAAAGAAAAAGTCATATCTCCTCAACCACTCCACCAAATCTGACGATCTTAGACTCGTCAGAACCACCTCCACAGTCTCTACAACTCCTACCATTACCACGACTCACCAATCCTAGTCCCTGATGCAGTAGGGGGTGAAATGTGTGATAAGGGTTGGTTTGACCTGCACAGACTTGTCCCCACAACACCGCCCTCGCCCAGTTCTAACACTATGCCCCACAGGACATACAACTCCAAAATGATGCAGCAAGGAGACTGCAACGCTCCCTGTACTTTCCAGCATGTGTTGACATGGGAACTATGAGGAGAAATAGGCAGACGTCTACACATCTGGTTCGATGATATCTTCACCAGCTGTTAGATACTGATCCGGGGTCGGGCACCGAAGGTCGCCGATGCGGACCGCTAAGGGCCGCGATGGCCGCGATGCCTCAGACAAGGCCCGAGGGTAGGGCATTTGGCCTCAGCAACTCTAAAGGGAGTGCTGTGCCCCCTAGTTGTCTCTTGGCCCTCATTTCGAACTTACTGGGGCTGCCTTGTTGGGGTCAGGGCTTGGGGTCGTGGTCAAGTTGATATTAGAGCTAAGGTACTATAATGTAGTATACAGGATATATATATGAAGGTGAAATGAATAGAAGCGGACCCGGGCCGAAGGCCGAAGGGTCCGGAAGCAAAGAGGAACAAAGAGCGGGGTTGGCCGCACTGCGGCCGGCAATGACCGAGGGTCAAAACAAACAATAACAGATAAATAAACGAAGGGGTGTAGGGCCGCGATAGCGGCGATGGTATCATAGCGGAGTAGGCGATGTCGCGGAGTCACGCTAGGTCGGTACCAGAGGCGGACTCGGGGCAGGGAGGTCGGTGTGGCTGTGGGGGAGTCGGCCAAGTGTAGGGGAGCCTAGGGGCAAGTGGGGGAGTGAGCAGGGAGCCCTCAGGGAGGATAGGGCTGAGGTCGGGGCTCGCGCTCACGCTCGCATAGCGGTAACGGGCTCGGGCGGCATCGGGATGGGCGGCTAACGGGCCGGAATGCACGGCCGTGACAGTATCCCCCTCTTAGGGCCTGAACCCTTGAAGGCCTAA